GGATTTACAGCGTCAGTTGCTTCCTTAAGTGGTCCAAGCACCTTAGTTTCATGAGAGTTGACTGATACTGTCCTACGGTTTCTTGTACAATGGCTTAACCGACATATTTCAAGCATCCAATGTCAAATGAGAAGATAAATGTGATTTTTCCATATTTTCAATTATTTTCAAAATTTGAAGACATACTGAGCAAACACTTGGCAAACAAGACCGATAATGAATCAATGCCATTTCAACATGGTGAGGCAAGTTTAGAAAAATAGAGGATCCTAGCCTTTGAAAACAGAGGGAAAAATGTGCAAAAACAAGGAAGTAACGTTCAGGTTAAGGCCCAGCAAGAATATTAAGTTCAATTCTGGATGTCACACATCTGGAATAGCTTTGAGACCATGGTAAAAGAATAGAGGAGGTTGACTGGAATGACACTTGGATGAGTGACTTCAATTATGCAGTGACTATAGAAGCAAGATTTGTTCTCCTTGGAGCAGGGAAAGTTTAGTGCATATTTTATGGTGATGAGACCTAGTAAATAGCTGACTAGATTTAAGATAATTGGTAAAAGAACCTGACGGAAATGAGTCACTTTGTTTCCTATACAACAGATTATGTTGATTTTGGAATCCACGGTCTGAATAATGGTGGAAGCAGGTTCAATAGTAACATTGAAAAGCAAATTAGGCTTGTGCTTGAAAAGGAAACATTTGAAGACAGCGGTAAGGTTTAGGAGAATTGGACAAAGTGTATAGTTTTCTCAGAGTCTATCATTCTATGATTTTACGAATAAGCTGTTTTATTTGCCATCAGATGAACATATCGAACAGGATTCATCTCTGATACTCAATACCCTTGAGTGTTTGCTGCCTGATTGGCTCTAATTCTCACAATGCTCCACTCTATCTGACAAATTTGTGATCCTTTAATTTGGAACTCTGTGCTGCCTCTGCTCCCTATGGCATACTACTGGCAAATTCAGCTATCTACACCTAAAGCTTTAGAATTTCCATGCTAAATCTTCCAGTGAACTGGTAGTAAATCTATGGAATAGATCCCCTAGGTGACATCGGAAGCTGACAGGCATGATTAATTTAAATGAGATCTATTCAGAAAATTATATTTTGGGGACACGGTAAAGTAAGGGTAATTTGAAACACACTTTTTAACGTAAGATAGAGTCAAATAAAGATGTGACAATAGTATATGGGATTTTTCAAAATAGGTATGGCACAAAGAAATGAAAGGTCAATGCTAATCACTACTTCATTGATTAGTTGGTGGTTCAAAGCTGGGGAAAGGTTCAACATGGAATATCGAGCATGTGCGTGAAGGACAGGAGGACATGGCAGAAGTCACTCCAATTGCCTTAAGTTTAATGATAAAAGATTTCCAAAGGGTGGAAAGTTTAGTAGATGTAAGTGATCTGAAAGATATTTTTGTCTGCAGGTAGATAGTGTGGAAAATGTGAAAGGAGAGGTTGAGTTTTTGTTTTAAAAAAACCCTGAAGAGCAACATTAGTGCCTGAAATAACCAGCATCAAATTGAAATGGAATTTGTAGCATTGGGAAAAACATAATTTTTAAAAGTACATAGTCCAAGGAGCAGGCTTTGATGGAACTAAGTATCTTCCATTTATAAAATTTTGTGATCCCACTGTAAAAATGATGGTTGTTATAAAGCTTAGTCTGCAAGAGGTTATAATGTGAGTTATGCTCATGGTTCGATTAAGATTGTTACAATTCATTCGAAGATCATCATATGCAAAGCTTTCAGATTTTGTTCATTAACCATAAGGTATATGTCAAGAGTGATGGAATACTCCTCACTTGCTTGGATGAGTGCATCTCTAACAACACTAGAGGGCATAGGTTTGAGATGAGAGGGGAAAGATTTTAAAGGGACCTGAACGGGCAACTTTTTTACACAACGGGTGGTGCATATATGGAATGAGCTGCCAGAGGTGGTGGTGGAGGCGGGTATAATGCTAACATTTAAACAGCATCTGGATGGGTACATGAATAGGAAGGGTTTAGATAGATATGGGCCAAATGCGAGCAAATGGGTCTAGGTCAGATTGGGATGTCTGGTTGGCACGAACGAGTTGGACTGAAGGGTCCATTTCCATGCTGCATAATTCTATGATTTTATAACGTGCTAATTGTGATATGTTTGAGCAGGAACCCAGTCCCTAAAGCTCTCCAACGGGAGTCTTCTCAGCTTTTGACGAGTGTTTCTGTTTGATTAGTGGAGCATCAATCATCTCTTTTCAAATGGATTAGTCATCACTGTAAATGGAGAATAAATTTATTATATATCTTGAATAAAAAGTCAATCACTGTTGTGTTAAAGGACCTTGTATATAATGTTGCCAGTGTTATCCATTACAGTGTATACTGATGTGATTGGTGATGTGAAAACATATTTTCTCTTCAATTCTATTTCAGCAAAATGCTGGTTGAATACTTTATTGCACAGCAACTCGCTATGCTAAAAGGCTCTCTGGCTCCCGCTGGAAACACTGGCACAGTTTCAGCTGTAACCTTCTATTTGCTTACTCACCGCACAGCTGCTGGATGATTAGGCGTTGCCGCCACTGTGTTTACTAGCTTGTCTGCACTACAATATTGCTGACAAACTGCCTAGTTTGTGGCACTTCTGTATTCAGGACACTGCACATAACTGGGACAGCCAGCTGTTTGCATCAGGCCTGCAGAATCACAACAACGGGTTCCATTTATATTATTTTATTTCACAGACCTCCTAGAAAGCCAAACCAGATTTTACCCAGTTTTCCATCGCTATTGATTAATTGTTAGAGATTAATTAATCTGATTGCATGTTACACTAATAATAGTTATTGATCAACAGCAAAGATGGTAGAAGACATCTTGAACTTTGATCTGTTTTTGTTTATGGTCCTTAGCATCCAAACTGAAATTCTGAATTTTCTGCTTGCTCAGGAAAAAACAGAATCCCATTGGAAGATCATCACTACTTGTGCTGACAGCTACATATGTCCAGCCATTTCCAACATAATTGTGATATTTGTGCCCAACTCCACTAAAAAAAAACCTGACTGTTGTGTTCATTATTGTCTTCTTTGGGTTCTACCTGCTGGGAAGACAGTAGTTTGGCAAAAATAATTAATACCTCACTTAAAAGGCATCATATGGGAAAATCAGAAAAATAAAATTTATACCGGTGTAGTGAGTATGTTCTTTTAACGTTGAGGCTTACTGTGGTACATTGAAGAGAGTATAGCAAAGCAAAACAAAAAAGTGTATTAAAAATTGCAAATGTTTTCTTTCTTATAATCAACATCCTTCAACTTAAAATACTAAAAGTTTTAAAACCTTACATATCCAAGTTCAGTTACTATTGCTGAAGATAACTAACATTTCTCAAGTATTAACAGGGCTGAACGAAGGACAACCAAATTAAGAAAACATTCAGGTACAGGATGCAAATGTTTTCCAATGGATTATTCTTTGGAGATGGCTCCTTTAGAAAAACTGGGTTGAATGAGCCTGTCAAAATATTTACAAGGATGAAGGAGATAATACTGCAGCTACTGAATGAGACATACTTTAAAGATGTATTTAAAAGTATTTTCATAGTTGAAACTGTGAAGATTGGAAATCGGAAACAAAAAAAGGAGAAAAAAGTCCGCTGCCAGCTGACTGCCTTGCTGATTGCTTCCAGTTGTTTCTCTTCAAATCTCTGATTAACCCTCTCATTGTCACATTTCCTCTTGTTGCGCCTGCTAACAGTACGAGGAGCGAAATTCTCAGAAGCAACTACATTAAAAGAGGACATACAACATAATGAGCTGTATGATTACTAAAGGAAAGGGTTGAGGTTTGGTACCAGCAGGCCGCACCTTGTTACCTGTCCCTTCCAGGAGAAATAACTCCGTCGATACTTTCAACAATCGTGAGATTGTTACTGTCCGTATTGTTCCCGTCTACGAACGCCCCTTTCTTTCCTTTTTCTAGTCATACCGTGCCTCAAAAATCCGCCCAACTGCCGACCTGTCACTTTCCTAACTCTCCAAACCCACAAACATCAAAGGCCGCCAACTTCCAACCCATTAACGCAGGCGCAGTGACGCGAGTAAGGGGAGGGGCTTGGGATCACGGAGGATGGGAGCTGGCACAGGCTCGGTCCTGGAAGGCGGGACCTGAGTGGCGTTGTTCGCGCAGGCGCCGTGACGGCGTGTGTTTCGAAGGGCGCAGGCGCCGTGGTGGCGGGTGGGTCCAGCTGGAGCTGGAATGTGGTGACGTTGTGGCACCTCGGGCGGTTGGCGGCGCGAGCAGCGGCGACGGCGGCTTCTTTGTTGTCGGTGACGGAGACCGTGGCAGGGGGAGGGAGGAGGGAAAGAGATAAAGAGAGAGATGAACGTGGACCGGATCGAGTTGTGCGAGAGCCTGTTAACTTGGGTAAGTAATGGCGAAAGCCAAATGAAAAGCGATCGTCCCTGCATCTGGGGCCCGGCGTCCTGTCACTGTGAGACCGGCAAAAGGGAGTCTACCCTCCGTGGCCGTGCATCGCCCTAAAACGGAGTGGAGGAGGGGCCCCAGTGGCTGATGCTGCTTTTGTCGCTGCAGTTAATGACCCGTTCGCCATTGTATGTGTGAGAGAGACAGAGAGAAAGGCAAAAGACTGACTTCCTGTCTTTAGTTCCGATGGAGCCGCGCACACGGTTGACAGCGCCGTGTGGTCACCGGCATCGACATGTTCTGTGTTGGTATGTGTCAGCTGACAGGGCGGGCGTGCAGCCTGTGGTGTTGTTTAACCCGCTTTCATCAATGCCGTGTCAATGCCTCCGTCTCGATCACCGGCGTGTTTCTGCTTAAATTACTCTTCTTTCTCCCCACCCCCCCCCTTTACTTTCCCCTACTTCTCATTTCTCTGCCTCCTTCCACTTCGATTTACGTAGAATACACGATGTAGAAACGGTCAGTTTGGCCCATCTAGTTCGTTGTTGTTCATGCTGCGCCGAAATCTCTGTCCTTTGTAACCGCCTCTTCTCAGCCTTTCAGCATATTATTCTGTTCCATTTTCCTTCATGCCTGGCTTCCTTTTGAACGTATATAAGCTATTTGCTGCAGGCACTTTTTGTGGTAGTGATTTTCCAATTTTTTACTATTATGTCCTCTTGTTTCCATGTTGAATTTATTAGCAAATATCTTATGTTTGTAGCCTTTGGTTTTGAAATTTCCTGCAAGTAAGATGATTCTCTCCCTGTACATAACTACCCAACCCATGAGCAAATGGAAATTAAAACACACATGTTATGGCAAACCCCTTCAAAATGTATTAAGGTAGTCCAGGCTGTAGCTGTTTCTTATTTTAAAGGTAAATGCAAGGCATTGCATTACGGATGCAATTCACTTGGTTAAACTACTTGAAGTTAAGCAAAATGCACTTTATTTTCATACGACTTAAAACGTGGGCAAAATAAAAAAACTTAACTGTTGAAATGCATAACAAAATATTAGATAATTAATAGTAGTTAATATAACAAAGAGACCTTGGGAAGCATGTTCATAGTTCCTTGAAAGTGGAGTCGCAGGTATGTAGGATAGTGAAGGTGGTGATAACGCAGTGTGGAGCTGGAGGAACACAGCAGGCCAGGCAGCATCAGAGGAGCAGGAAAGTTGACGGTTTGGGTC